ACTGTTAACAAAGTTTGCTTCAAGATCTTCTATCTACTCAAATCCACATAATACCAATGCCATTGCCTAAAATAAAATATCCAACAAAATTAAAAGCAAAAATAAAAACAACCCAAAAAAACTAAAGTAGAAAAAAAGTCAAGCAGAATTACATTTTCTCAAAAATTAGTATGCAAAATAAACAAACCATAGAAAGTCTTCTCCTGAATAATGCCAGATGCTAAAATACACAACTTTTTTTTTAATTTTAAGAAGGCATTATAATAGCATTGTGGCAATTAAAAAATATTGGCAGAAACAGAAAAAAATGAGTATTCTAGTAGGTCATGTATAAAATCCAATTTTTAAAAAATGAGAACAGAATGGACAACAGTGCAGAAAAAGTTTTTGAGCTAATAAACAGACTCAGGGACCTAAGAAGTCCAACGTCAGCAGAAGGTTATAAATATGAAAACTTATAAGCCATGATGTAACAAAACAGGGCAGGCGGGTACGCAGTCTCCTCCCCTCTCCCTCTCCCCAAGCCCTCTCCCAAGACTGTCATCACTATCCCCAGTGATCTTTTCCTCTCAGCCAAGATAAAGCTGCAGAAATTTTCTTAACCGAGCACTTCGGGCAGCCTCTACCAAACTACCCAAACTGTGATTGCAGTATTAGATGCAAACAACCTGTCATTTCTTTAGTAGGAGAGGATCCAAGATAAGAATTTGCGGCCCAAAAAATGGAAAAGGCACACGTGATCTCTTCAAGTATGAACAATCAAGAGGAAGACATTTAAATATAGGCTTATTGCTCTGGAAAACAGTGTGGAGATTCCTCAAAAAATAAAAAAGAGATCTACCCTATGACCCAGCAATAGCACCGCTAGGAATTTACCCAAGGGATACAGGAGTGCTGATGCACAGGGGCACTTGTACCCCAATGTTTATAGCAGCGCTTTCAACAATAGCCAAATTATGGAAAGAGCCTAATTGTCCATCAACTGACGAATGGATAAAGAAATTGTGATTTATATACACAATGGAATACTACTTGGCAATGAGAAAGAATGAAATCTGGCCATTTGCAGCAATGTGGATGGAACTAGAGGGTATTATGCTAAGTGCAATAAGTCAGGCAGAGAAAGATACCGTATGCTTTCACTCATATGTGGATCCTGAGAAACTTAACAGAAGACCATGGGGGAGGGGAAGGAGGGGAAGTTACAGAGGAGGAGGGAGGCAAACCCTCCCTTTAAGTCTTTAAGAGACCCATAAATACTGAGAACAAACTGAGGGTTGATGGGGGGTGGGGGAGAGGGGAAAGTGGGTGATGGGCATTGAGGAGGGCACCTGTTGGGATGAGCACTGGGTGTTGTATGGAATCCAAGTTGACAATAAATTATACTTAATAAAAAAATAAAAATAAATTTAAAAAATAAATATAGGCTTATTAAATCCCTGACATTTAGAAATAAAGAATGATGGCCCTGGGGCACCTGGGTGGCTCAGCCGGTTAAGAGTCTCAACGTTGATTTTGGCTCAAGTCATGATCTCACTCGTGAAATCGAGCCCCACATCAGGCTCACGGACAGCATGGAGGCTGCTTGGGATTCTTGCTCTCTCTCCCTGTCTCCACCCCTTCCCCACTTATGCATGATCTCTCTCTTTCTCTCACAAAAATAAAATACATAAACTTAAAAAAAAAAGAATGATGGCCATAAGCAACTAAAGAGAAGAGAAAGATAATACTTGGGCCTTCGAGGTGAAAATAGCTTGAGCTCATTCTATCCAGGTGCAGAAAATAATTTCTTTTTTTAACGTTTATTTATTTTTGAGAGAGAGAAAGAGCATGAGCAGTGGAGGGACAGAGAGAGATTGGGACACAGAATCTGAAGCAGGCTCCAGACTCTGAGATGTTGGCTCAGAGCCTCATGTGGGGCTCAAACTCACGAGCTGCAAGATCATGACCTGAGCTGAAATCAGATGCTCAACCGACTGAGTCACCCAAGTGTCCCAGATACAATTCTTTTTTTTTTTTAATGTTTGTTTATTTTTGAGAGACAGAGCGTGAGCAGGGGAGGGGCAGAGAGAGAGGGAGACACAGAATCCGAAGCAGGCTCCAGGCTCTGAGCTGTCAGCACAGAGCCCAAGGCAGGGCTCACACCCACAAACCATGAGATCATGACCTGAGCTGAAGTCGGACGCTTAACCAAATAAGCCACCCAGGCGCCCTCCCCCCAACCCCGAAAATAATTCTTAAATCCATAGAAAACTGCAGAAATTCTCCAATGAACAATCTCATCTTCAAATAACTACCCAAGGCACATTTGAGCTAGATAAGATATAACTGCAGAAAAATAAAAGAAATACTATAAGCATTGGGGAAACCATTGCTGTAGGTTTAATTCTTTTGTGTGGTGCTCCTTAAAAATGTGGAGAAAAGACATTTTAAGCATATTTTGGAGTGTCTGTTCTATCAATCTTGAATGGGTTGTGGAGAGTAGATTCGGTGAATCCAACAGCAGATAATACTTCCCATTATTTAACTCAAAGCTGTTCTCTTTGACAGATAAAAATGTAGACCTTTAAGTATTAAGTTATACCATTGGATGCAAGAAAAATTGATTTTAAAACACACCATTTTATAAGTACCACTCAGAAAAAGGAAAAATCATGTCAATTACTATTACTCAAAGCTTACCAATTCCTTAGAATTTTTATTTCCTACTTTTTGAAAGTGTTCTTCTAGGCTTATTAAGGTATGGAAGTGCCCACACTATGAAGAGGTAGGACGCAGTGCACACACGTGGAAGCAATGAGAACCCCTGTCTTCCACCTGGCTGACAACAATTATAGAATGCCATCCATCTTATGACACTCTTATTTCAGGGACGTTAAAAAGTGAAAAACAACAACAACAACAAAAAAGTGCGCCCTAAAATTCATGAAATGGGACACATCAAATAAGTTACATTTCCAGTGGGTTTAAAAGGAAAGAAGGTTTGGGGCGCCTGGGTGGCTCAGTCGGTTAAGCGTCCGACTTCAGCTCAGGTCACGATCTCGCGGTCCGTGAGTTCGAGCCCCGCGTCGGGCTCTGGGCTGATGGCTCGGAGCCTGGAGCCTGCTTCCGATTCTGTGTCTCCCTCTCTCTCTGCCCCTCCCCCGTTCATGCTCTGTCTCTCTGTGTCCCCAAAATAAATAAACATTAAAAAAATAAATGAATAAAAGGAAAGAAGGTTTTTAAAACAGATATGTCTCTGGCGGCAAGGGAAATAAAAGCTAAAAGAACTACTGGGATCTCATCAAGATAAAAAGCACAGGGAAGGAAACCGTCAACAAAACTAAAAGGCAACCGATGGAATGGGAGAAGATATTTACAAATGACATATGGATAGAGGATTAGTATCCAAAATCTATAAAGAACTTACCAAACTGGCCCCCCAGAAACAAATAATCCAGTGAAGAAATGGACAGAAGACACAAATAGACACTTTTCCAAAGAAGACATCCAAATGGCTAACAGACACATGAAAAAATGCCCAACATCACTCATCATTAGGGACATACAAATCAAAACCACAATGAGATAACACCTCACAGTTGTCAGAAAGATTATAATTAACAACTCAGGAAACAACAGGTGTTGGCGAGGGTGTGGAGAAACGGGAACCCTCTTGCACTGTTGGGAATGCAGACTGGTGCAGCTGCTCTGGAAAACAGTGTGGAGGTTCCTCAAAGAATTAAAAATAGAACTACCCTACTACCCAGCAATTGCACTGCTAGGTATTTACCCAAAGGATACAAAAATGCTGATTCGAAGGGGCACACGCACCCCAATGTTTATAGCAGCACTATCAACAATAACCAAATTGGAGCACCTGGGTGGCTCAGTCGGTTAAGCATCCAACTCTTGGTTTTGGCTCAGGTCATGATCTCACGGTTTCCTGAGTTTCACCCCTGCGTCAGGCTCTGCACCGATGGTATGGAGACTGCTTGGGATTCTCTCTCTCTCTCTCTCTCTCTCTCTGTCTCTCTCCCTCTCCCTCTCTCTCTCTCTGCACCTCCCCTACTCACACTGTCTCTGTCTCTCTCAAATAAATAAACTTTTAAAAAAAATAGCCAAATTATGGAAAGAGCCCAATGTCCACCGATTGATGAAAGGATAAAGAAAAGGTGGTGTATGTATATACAACTGAATACTACTTGGCAATGAAAAAGAATGAAATCTTGCCATTTGCAACAACATGGATGGAACTAGAATATATTATGCTAAGCAAAATAAGTCAGAGAAAGATATCATATGATTTCACTCATATGTGGAATTTAAGAAGCGAAACAGATGAACATAGCAGAAGGGAAGGCAAAATAAGATAAAAACAGGGAGGCAAATCATAAGAGACTCTCAAATACAGAGAACAAACTGAGGGTGGCTGGAGGGGAGGTGGGTGGAGGATGGGTTAAATGGGTGATAGGCATTAAGGAGGGCACTTAGGATGAGCACTGGGTGTCACATGTAAGACAGGAATCACTGGGTTCTACTCCTGAAGCCAAGACTGAGCTGTACGTTAACTAACTTGAATTTAAATTAAAAAAATAATAAAACAGATAAATGTGATTCAGCGTGACACATACCTACACATGACACATCCAAAATGCCTTGAGTGAAGAGGAGTGCCAGGGGAGGCACGCAAGCCTTTTCAGTCGGGTCCCAGAGTATGCTTGGAGAAGGCAAAGATGAAGAGAAGGAAAAATCCAGAATGCTGGGAAAGAGCTCAGGTACGACAGGATGGGCTACATGCCCCACTCTGAGCTCGCACAGCTCTCTCAATACTGGTGACACATCAGATGAGGCGGGGAGAGCAGTGTCCCTCACAGAGCAGGTGCTCAGTATACACTTGCTGAGCGAGTGAACGTGTGAGCATGTGTGTTTGTGGGAGCGAGTGAACGAGCGTGTGAGTTAGGGGTGTCTGTGGCCGGAGATAACAGCTGTTCTCTTTCCCCCCGCCCTTGTCACCCCAGAAAAACTTGAGAGCGAGAAGCTGAACGTTGCTGAAGTCACCCAGTCAGAGATTGCTCAGAAGCAAAAGCTGCAGACCGTCCTGGAGAAGGTCAACGAAACCCTGAAGCTTCCTCCCAGGAGCATCAAGTGGAATGTGGACTGTGAGTTTTACAAAAAAGGATGGAACGGTTAAACGTCCCCTGTGGCCCCCACCCTGGGGTTTCCCCACAAAGCCATCCAGGATGCTGGCAGGCCCCGGGGGGGTGCAAACCCATTTATCATTGAGCGAGACGTGCCCTTCTTTAGAGAACTTCTCCTCTGTGCTGCTGGGAAAATGACAAAGTGTCCAAAGCCAGTGTGTTTTTCTGTGAAAGGCCGTTTGTAGCAAGTTCACGTGAGCTAGGGAGCAGAGGAGACTGCTACGGATTGAGCTACTTCTAAGCCCCTGTACAACCTTTTGAGAAAGCCACGTGTCCAGCTCATAGAGGCTTCAAGAAGCCAAAATCCCTACGTTCAGGCAGCTGAGGAGCAGGGGAGCAAGGACTTGGCTCTGTGTTGGAGCCCATGCCCTCCCTCTCAGCCCCTTATTTTCCAGAAGGAGCAAAGGTCTGGGGCTGAGATCGCAGGCCCTGGAACAGGATTTGCAAATTCAGGTTGCGCGGCCAGTGTCGCTTGAACATCTCCAAAAGTTATAAACTGCTTGTTCTTTTGCTACTTTAAGAGCCCGCCAGGCTAATATGGACGTGATGAGTCCATAACAGAATCAGCCTTGAACCAGCAGATCAGGTGACTCCAGTGGCAACCTCAGATTTCTCAGAGGGAGTCCAGAGTTGTTTTGTTCTTTGTAATCGATGAAAATATGAATTCAGATTAATAAAATGATTTAGATCGTGTTCTCTGCTTTTAAGTATTAAGGGGTTAAGTTCTAGACAAAATCGTATCCAGTTTAAACAACTTAAAATGGACACCTTCCTCCTCCCCCCAAAAAACCACCTTTCCAACTTGGGAAAGGAAAGGAAATCTTGGGGCACCTGGGTGGCTCAGTGGGTTAAGCGTCTGACTTCAGCTCGGGTCATGATCTCGCAGTTTGTGAGTTCGAGCCCCGCATCGGGCTCCGTGCTGACAGCTCAGAGCCTGGAGCCTGCTTCGGATTCTGTGTCTCCCTCTCTTTCTGCCTCTCCCCTGCTGTGTCTCTCTCTGTCTCTCAATAATAAATAAACAGTAAAAAAAAAAAAAGGAAAAAATATCTGTATCCCTCAGCTTAGAGACCCAGTAGCTGCCAGACCCAACCTCTTCAGCAAGTTTCTAGCAACTGACGTTGGCGGTGAGACAACAGGTACCTCCTTCAGCATAATCATACCTTCGCATGCACATCACACATTGCTTGAAACAGGGCGACCTCTGTGTGATGGAGAGAAACTCCCGGGAAGAGGGGAAGCCACACCCTGGGTCCTGATTGCTGCCCCAAAGGCCAGGAATGCTAACAGTGTTGGAGGAGGGGGGAGGGCGCCTGATTACTAGTGTGGAAACTGCATCTACCTTGCGGAAATCCACAATAGTCGTGAGCATTAAAGTCCTCTGATAAAGACCCCTGCTTAGTTTTGTTTCAACCTATTTCCTCCTCCCTGAATGTGGACCATCTCCATGCACCCCTCCCAACAAAACACCTTTTCACTTACCAGGGAACCCAGTTTCGGAAAGATTGAGATAGAATGGAATTTTTTTTTTTTTTTTTTTTTTTTTTTTTTTTTTTTTTTTTTTTTTTTGAGAGAGAAGGAGAAACAGAGCACTTGCACCAGCAAGGGGGCGTGGCGGGCAGAGGGAGAGAGAGAATCTCAAGCAGGCTTCATGCCCAGTATGGAGCAGGAAGTGCGGGGCTGGATCTCCCCGAGATCACAACCTGATCCAAAATTCAGAACCATCCTGAGCCAAAATCCTGAACCATCCAGGCGTCCCAGCATGGAACTTTTTAAACCCACTTCAGGACCATGGTCTTTAGTGGCTTCTAATGATTTGTTTGTTTCATGTTTACCTTCATTTCTTTAAAAAAAATTTTTTTAATGCTTATTTATTTTTGAGAGAGAGAGAGACAGAGCGTGATGGGGGAGGGTCAGAGAGAGGGAGACACAGAATCTGAAACAGGCTCCAGGCTCCGAGCTGTCAGCACAGAGTCCGACGCGGGGCTCGAACTCACGAACTGTGAGACCATGACCTGAGCTGAAGTTGGACGTTTAACTGAATGAGCCACCCAGGCACACCCTTCATTTGTTATGGGGATATGTGTATGAGTAAAATAATCACCCGTGTTGCCACTCTCATCTGGCTGTTTTCATTTTTTGCCCACTACTGTCCCTATCAATGCAAATGTTTAGTCACAGTCCTGTGTTTTGTTATTTTCTCTTAATATTATATCAGATTTTCTATATTCCCATGTAGTATTCATTATCCCATGTATTCACTATCCCAGGTAGCCATTATTTTTGATGGCTGCTTCTATTTCACTGGGTAGAAAGTCCCATAGGGATCTTAAACCCTACATTGACGTTGATCCTATTAGGATGTTTGCTCGCCTACTGGCTACTGTCGGGGCCAAGTCAAATGTCTTAGGTTGGGTCTCTTTTTGCTTCTCTCGAGTTATTCCTGTCAGATAGATTTCCAAAACGGAGATGAAGTACTAGGCCGGAGGGATCATTCTCTCAGTGGCTAGATCCCTGTGATGACTGTTTACAAGCATGAATGGTTTCTTCCATAAGGGATGTGATGGGTCCAACTCCTGGAGAGAAGTTCTGTCCCTCCCCTCTGCTATTCTCTCTAGCTCCTAGACATTGTGTCATCTTTCCACTCAGGACGAAGGTGGCAAGGACAGCTGTGAGTTACCAAGGCTCTTGATCTAGGGCTTTAGGGAGGTCTACCTTTTCTTCTTGCTTTATTCACAACAATTTTCATGATTAAAAAGCTATAAAATGAAAACAAATTTGAATATTAACAGCTAACATATCTATGGTGCTTACTGTATGCTTTGTACTATTCTAAACCGTTTACATATTTTCATCCTTGTAATCCTCACTCAACCATCTGAGGTAAGAATTCTATTATCCCCATTTTACAGATGGGAAAATAGAGGCAGAGAGCGATTCGGAGACAATGAATGTAAGCTTTAAGAAGTCAGGGATTTTTGTTTCTTCACTACTGAATCCCCAGAAAGTGGAAGAGCAACTTGCAAATACCAGACACAGTAATATTTGCTGAAGGAGTGTCCTTGTCCAAGGTCACACGGGTGGTGACGGGTGTAGCCAGAACTGAAAGAGAGTCTTGCCGTGGAGCCTGTGCACTGAGCCTACGCATGCGGTCCCTCTAAGCTGCCCACCCAGAGACAGGGACTGTCAACCTGCGGTGTTCCCCTTCAGGTCGAGTGTGAGTGTGTGTGTGTGTGTAAGAAACAGATTAAGTAAATTAAATGTGTGTATACATAATTACATATTTTTTTTTTACAAAGATGAGATCAGTTTATAAGATGTATATCTTCACAGATCATTAAATATTCTTTCACTTTTAATATTATGTAGCAGGATATCATATGGCTATAGTATAATCTATTTAATCAATAATGGATTTTAAGATTGTTTTCCATTTTTCCACTATTATCAACGTAGCCTGATGAGTTCTGTCTGCTGATAGCCACAATTACTTTTTTAGTACAAATACCTAAGAGTGGCATTCTAAGGTCAACGTGTGTGTATATTTCTAAGGTCATAATACGTATTGTCAAATTGTCTCCAAAAAAAATTACACCAATTGATATTTCCACCACAACTCCTATTTGGAGAACTATGCCTAACTCAGCAGCTCCTTTGAAAATGTCCGCCAGCTCCTGGCACAATGGCTAAGTGCCCAATTTATATAGTAGAGGCTGGGCCTACCTCTAAATCTGCACAGTGCCATCCTGACCCAAGGGCAGGACCACAGAATCCCTAGATTCTATCTGGCATCAGGGAGAAAACCAGGAGATAAGCTCAAATGTAGCAATGATGAGGGGACCCCAATAGATGAAGGTTGTTAGGATTTTTCTTAATTGAAAAGATGAGGGGCTCCTGGGTGTCTCAGTCGATTGAACGTCTGACTTCGGCTCAGGTCATGATCTCATGGTTCATGAGTTCGAGCCCCGCATCTGGCTTTGTGCTGACAGCTCAGAGCCTGGAGCCTGCTTCAGATTCTGTGTCTCCCTCTCTCTGCCCCTCCCCTGTTCATGCTCTCTCTCTCTCTCTCAAAAATAAACACTAAAGAAATTTTAAAAAGAAAAAAGATGACATACCTTTATTCTAAAAAATTTTTGATCGCTTCTCGGCCTTTTGGCTAAGATCAAGTGTAAAAAATTTTTGAAATAGGAAACTATCATATTTTCATTTTTTTAATATTCCTTTCCAAGTCTTGGCCACAAGCATGTGTGTGTGTGTGTGTGTGTGTGTGTGTGTGTGTGTACACACATATATGTATATGTATTTACATGTATGTATATCCATAAATGTGTATCTTTACATTGTTTCTATTATTTCTGTTTAACATTACACTATTAATATTTAGAGTTACACTGTTTCAACAGTGATTTTCAGTGTGTAGAAATTATTCCATTATGTGGATATACCATAACTTATTAAAGCAGTGATTATTAACCATTCTTGGCCCAACCTAGTGATTTGCCAGGAAGAACTCAGGCGTCACTGAGGAGAGTAGCAGCTGTGGGTAGCAGTTAGGCCTTGGGGACCAGGACACTTTTGCTTTTTTTCATCTGTTTTGCCTAATGGCTTTTAAACAAAGGGTTTCTCTGCCTAATAAAAAAAAAAAAAA